GGAGCTGGGAGAGGAGCTGTGCTGGCAGCAGGACAGGAGGGAAAAGCTCCAACTAGAGCTGCAGCAGGCAAAGGAGTGGACGAGCACCCTCGAGAGAGAGAACGGGGCCCTGCAGCAAAGCCTGTGCCGCAGCCAGCAGGCGGTGAGCTGGGATCAGCAGCAGAAGGGGCCCAGACCTCACCCGAAGCAGCATCAGCTCCAGCAATGCGGCACCCGCTAAGGTCCTGCCTCCCTGCAGCTAGGGGAGCAGAAGGAGCTGAGCCAGGGCCTGCAGTGCCACCTGGTTCGGCTGCAGGAGGAGCTGGGAGTCACCAAGGCCAGGGAGCAGCAAAGTCTGTGGCAGCTCAGCGGAGCCGAGGAGACCATCCACACCCTGCAGCAGGAAGTGGCCTCCAACAGAAAGCATCTGACGGAGCTGCTGGGACAAGTGAGGGCAGGCTCAGGACAGTGCCAAGATGCAGCAAGCCACCAAGCAGCCCTTGGTGCCAGAGCAGCAAAGGGGCAGGACTGCACAGAGCTCTGTCCTGGCTCTGGGCAGTGCTGGCCCTGGGCAGGAGGCCAGGCCCACCTAACCCCGCTCTGCCCCACGCTGTCACATGCAGGTACAAGACATGCCCAGCCTGCGGGCAGAGCTGGCCCAGGCCCAGCAGGGAAAAGCCAAGCAGGAGGAGGAGATCGCAGCCTATGAGGAGCAGAGGCAGCAGCTCCACTGGGAGCTGAGGAAGCTGCAGGGGGCCCAGGAGCAGAGCAAGCAGGAGGTAAGCGGGCCCTAAGCCTTCCCCCAGGGCACCGGGAGCCTGTGTGCAGCCTGCCTCTCCCTCCCTGCCTCTGCTCTTGGGGCAGGCCCACATCCTCGAGAAGAGGCTGCAGGAGCTGAGCAGCCGAGCCCAGCAGTGGCAGCAGCTGCACGAGGACAGCGAGCGAACTCTGGCCACGCGGGAAGAGGAGCTGGTTGTTTGCAAGGTGGAGCTGGCCTTCCTCAAGGAAAAGCTCAGCAAGGCTCTGGAGCAGGTGCGGGACAGGAACAGGCAGCACCACGGCCTGAGGGCAGAAGGAGCCCGGGCTGGGTTGTTGGCCCAGGGGAAGAGCAGATCCTTGCCCGTAGGGAGGGCAGAGCTGGTGAGGACAGGCCAGGGGCAGTGGCACGCTGCAGAGCCCAGGCCACCACGGGAGGGGGCTGGGGTGCGTCAGCAGCAGCACCTTGTTCTCCTCCGACTACCCTTTGCTCTCTTGCTAGAAAGAAGCCCTTCAGCACGAAACTAACATGTTACGACAGAAGTTTGCGGTCACTAGTGCTGAGGTAACGCTCCTTTCCTTTTCCTGAGCAGCAGGCAACTCCAGACCTTCTGCTCAGCCCTAAAGCTGCTGCCCTAGCACCGCCTGTTTCTCACAACTGCCTCCAGCCCTGGTCACAAACAGGCAAGGGCCAGCAGTTGCCGCCCTGAGGGCTGTCTTTTTTCAGGCAGAAGCCCTGCGCTCCTCCCTCACTGTGGCACATTCTGACAGCAGCAGGCTGCACCGGGAAAGCGAGCTGGTGCTGGTCAACATCGGCCAGTGGGTGAAAAAGCAGAAGTGAGTGAGAAGCTGCGCTGGAGTAGAGAGGGGCAGACGGCTGCTTTCTCCTCCCCAGCATCGCCTAACCCAGCTCACCTCATTTTCAGGCAGTCAAATGAGAAACTAGGGCAAAAGATCCAGCAGCAAGTCAAGCAGATTGCTGAGCTGACAGGCGAGAAGGAGTAAGTGGTGAGCATGGGAAGAGGGTCTGAGCTCTCTGCAGAGAGCAGTTACTGCTCACCACAGTAGCACATGGGACAGATGAACAACCACTGGACTACCCAAACTCCCATAAGGCCAGCGGATCACGATACACTCCTGCACCACCTCCTCACCTCATCTTCCCTGCCTTTCCTCCAGGCAGCTCCAAAACATACTGGGAAGGTTGCAGGAGGAAAACAAGTATCTCAGGGCCAGAGCAGATGAGCAGCGCCGCGAGTGTGAGCAGCTGAAGGCGAGCAGAGCTCCTGTCACAGCCTGGCCTGAAACAGTGCTAGGCCTGTGCTCCTGCGTGTAGAGGGAGAGCTGGGCACTGGCTGCACCAGGCACAGGTCGTGCAAGACCTGCCTTTGCAGGAGTCCAGGTCACGGCTGGGCCAGGCTCAGGTTGTCTTTGCCCTCTGAGAATGTGCATTGTCCCAGGCTCTGTAGGGCAGTAACTTGCCTGCACCAGCCCTGCACAACTCTACAGGGCTGCCTCCACCCAGCACTCGTCTCCGAGACGAGAAACAGCATAAAACAAAGCAAGGGTCAAAGACTAACAACCTTTAAACAAATAAAATTATTTCTGTTCCGTAGCAAAAGTAGTGCCAAGCACCAAAGCCTTCCTGGGCCACAAGCTGTAACGAGCCGAGCAGTTGGGGAGCTTGGCAGCTCTCCTGAGACTCAGCTGCTCCTGGAAGCCCATAAGCCTCGAAGCAACGGGCACTTTCTTCTCAGAGGCCAAAGCGGGCTGGGGTGCGTCGTGGTGTCAGGGGCTCCCCCTGCTCCTTCCGCCCAGGGGTGTAGATTTTAGTAGACCTACCAAGGGAGGACGAGGGTGATTAGCAGAGGACAGAAGACGCAACCTTCCCCTGCATCAGGAATACCCGGCGTGGGAGGTGTGTGTGGAGATTTGGGATCCTCCATGCAGCTGCCTGTTGAAGGGCAGCCCATGGCCAGGCAGGGCTGGTACCCACCTCGCACTGCCCAGTGGGTTACGGCGCTCCTGTTCCTCCCGGCGGGCACGCAGCTGCTGCTCAGCTAGAGCCATCTCCTCCTCCATGAGGGACGCTTCCTCCTTGGCACGGCGGCGGTTCTCCTGGAGCAAGGCAGCAGAAGGTAAGGGACAGGCAGGGGCCTGGGCAGCAGCAGACTCTCTGCAGGCCCACAGGCCTGATCCCTCCATGTCAACACATCCACCCACTAGGACACACTGCACTAGATCAGGCATGCAGTGGGGCTGTATGCAGCAAGAACCACACCCAGGCACACACTCCTTTGCAATGTAGCAGCCTGCTTTCTGCTACTCAGCCATCTTGTCCTGGACAGGAGACTCACCTGACGTGACTTGCCAGCATGTTTGATACTGTAGAACATGGGGCCCAGCTCTGCCAGCCACTCTCCATCCACAGCAGTGACGCATTGCATGTATTCCTGCATGGACAAAAGGAAAGACCAGCGTAACAGGATGGCACTCAGGGCCTGGGCACCAATTCCAGAGCCTCGCAAGCTCCCTCCCTCCCTCGCCCACTTGCCAACAGCAGTTCTCAAGCTGGGGATATGCCCCTTCCAGGCAATTCCTCCTGGCCTCAGAAAGCTGCTATGGGTTTGACTTGGTGAGACTGCAAAGAGTCTCAAACATGACCTACAGCTGCCAGGAAAAGTCACCCGGGAAGGAACAAACAGGACTCTGCAGATAACACGGACATGTAGAGTTGGCAAGGAGGAAGACCAAGAACTGCCTTTCTAAAACATCCCGGTATCACAGCAAAGCCTTCCCACCCTCCTCAGGTCTCCTTGCTCTTCTCACCAGCCCTGAAGCTCAAGCTCACCTTGGTGGTCATGACCAGTTCATGATACACAATGTAGTCTGGTGTGTAGCCCATGCCAAACAGGGAGCTTGTGGGGTGCAGGTGGCAGGGCATGCCTGTGCGGATGTTCACATACTCCCCAATACCCTGCACAGAGAAGTGTGGTTAGCATACATGTGACAGACACAGCCTCTCATCCCCCACACAGAGCACAGAGCCCTCTCACCTTCAGCTTTGCAGCCTGATGGAAATACGCAGCACAGATGCACTTCCTGACAACATCCCAGTCAGTGCCACAGGATGCCAGGCTCATCCGCTGCTGCACCATGATGTCCTTGAGCTGGGCACGCACTTCTCGCACCTACAAGGATTCATAGCATTCAGGTCCCTCTCCTGCACAAGGCTCCCTCTCGCAGCCCATTGCCACAGCCTCACCTTCCGCATGGCCTTGGCATGGATGAAATGCTGGTTGCACCACAGCGTAGAGTAGTTGTTGTTCTTCCATTGCAGGTAAACATTCAGGTAAGTCAAATGATCGCTCTCTGGGACGGCAAATTTCTCACGCACCTGGTCGCTCTCCTCCTCTCGGCCCTGAAGAATGAGCAAAAAACACAGGTCAGTCGAAGGGCAGGGGAAGGCCCCAAACTGCTAGAGGAGCAAGCGGGTACCTTAGGCCGATAGAAGATGGCAGGCACAGACAGCATGGAGACAATGAGCAAGATCTCAGAACTGCAACCCATGTCACAGGAAACAATGAGCATTTTGGAGAGTGCAGGATCCAGGGGGAACTCCACCATAAGACGACCCGTAGAGGTCAGACCACCTGCAGGAACAGCACAGGGATCAGCAGCCAGGTGGGCCCCAGCAGTGCCATGGGCTGATAGCCTACCCCAGCAGCCAGTACCTGTGTTATCCAGCGCTCCCAGGATCCACAGCTGGTACATGGAGTTCAGCATGTTGTCCTCAGGGGGTGGATCCATGAAGTGGAACTGCAGCAGGTCCTGCACACCCAGAGACTTGAGCAAAAGCACCACGTTGGCAAGGTTGGTGCGCTGGATTTCGGGCACAGTCGTGGTGAGGAGCTCGTTCTTGTAGGCGCTCTGGGTGTAGAGCCTGGGGAACACACACGAAGAGCATGCTCCCCCTGCTCAGACCGCTGTGTTCCTCACTGAATGACCAACCCTTGCCCAACCCGGACAGGCAGCGCACAGGGCAGCAGCTCTGCACTCAGCCAGGCCAGTGAGCAGGACCCCAGGGAGGAAACTCTCTCCAAGACACAGTGCAGCCTCCCAGCACATAAAGGTGCCTGGGCTGCAGCACAGTATATGCTCTCAAGCACAGTCCTTCCTTGTGCGCAGACTAGTCTCAAAAGCAAAGCAGCTTCCTTGAGGCTTTTGACTGGGCTGTTGGAATGAAGACTGGCAAGGGCAGAAACGAGAGCACACCCTTTCCTCTGCAGAGGATATTGGGTCTGAAACAGAAGGCCCAAGGCCTGCCTCCCTACATATATAACTGGATACCAAGCTATGGACATCACAGAAACACAAACACCAGTGAGGTGCCTACCTGAAGCAGTGACCTGGGCCTGTCCGGCCTGCTCGGCCTGCCCTCTGATTGGCATTTGCTTGACTGATGGGGTAGATCTGCAGTGCATCCATGCCTATGCGGGGGTTGAAAACCTGCAGAGCAAGGGAAGAACAGAACCAGACAAGAGGAAGGCTGGGTCACTGCCACACAACTCCCTCAACTCAGCCCCAGAGATCACGGATACGAACAGGACAAGAAAGCCCTGCTCACCTTCAACTTGCAGTAGCCAGAGTCAATCACAAACATGATGCCATCCACTGTCAGTGAGGTCTCTGCGATGTTGGTGGCAACAATACACTTCCTGACCCCATCCGGAGCCTGCAAGCATACCACACACCAGTCAGATCCCTGGGCAAGATCCCTTCCCTGAGGAAGGGCGCAGAGCAGCACCACTGAACCCAGAAGGATAGGGGAAAACCCTTTGGAAGGTGAGGAGAATACAGGCTCTCTCTCACTGTCCACATGCCATACAACAGGCATCTCTGCACCTCTCACTCTCAGTAGAGTCTTCCCTCCACTGGCAGCCCCAGTCCCCATCCCCATCACAGACCACACATCAGCACCTTCTGGAAGATCTTGGCCTGCAAGTCTGAGGGTAGCTGAGAATAGATGGGCAGTACAGCAAGAGCAGGTGCCTTCTCCAGCTCCTCAAGGTGCTCCACAATTTGCTCTGAGGTCACCTGGACACAAAGAGGGCTGTTAACATGAGATTAAAAGCAACAAGTGGGGAGGACAGCGCCTGTCCTCCCAGCTCACCTCGATGTCTTCCTGGCCAGGCATGAAGACGAGGATGTCTCCAGGAGCACCAGACAGATGCACCTGTAGGGCTTGTTTCACTGCAGCCTCCACATAATCCTCTTGGGGGGTCTGAAAGGCACAACCCAGGTTACAGATACTGATGATCTCACCTCTCCCATCCTGTGGGTAACACTGCGTCGTAGTACGTCTACTCTTCTTCTTTCTTCCCTGCCTACCGCAGAGCGCGATACACCCAGGTCACAACCCCCTCCCACCACAGCAGATCTCTTTGCAATGCTGACTTCACCTTGCTGAAGAGAATGTCGACAGGAAACGTGCGCCCAGGAATGTGGAAAATGGGAACGTTCCCAAAGAAAGAAGCAAACTTATCTGCATCCATGGTGGCCGAGGTGACAACAAGCTTCAGATCTGAGCGTCGGGCCACCACCTAGGAAACAGGTGGAAGGAACAATAAGGAAGTGACATTCATGCAAGGCTCCAGGCTGTTTCCATTACCACTGAGACAACAGCACAGGACAGAGCTTCCTCCGTACCCCAGAGGCACTAGCTACTACTGCCCCGAAAGATGTATACTGCATGTTCTGTCCAGTCAAAAGACAGGCTGACTCCAGCCCAGAAAGCCTTAAGCCTGCAAACATTTCTGTACCTAGAGCGTCCGACAGGTAGCCGGCAAGCCTCTGCAGCATTTATGCCCTAGAGAAGACGTAGCCCACCAGAACCAGGGACCAGGAGCGTTGCCACAGCGAGTGCAGAGAGAGCGTGGCACAGTCTCTGCTTCTTTCCCTCTCCTAGACCCTGGAGAGAAGTGCTGCCCATGCCGATATCCTACTCCATCAAATATTCTAAGAACAGCTCAAGAGCCCCATGCCACTGTCCTCCTCTCGTCCGGCCTCACACACACCTCCCGAAGCAGGCCAAAGAGTACATCAGTGTTGAGCGAGCGCTCGTGTGCCTCATCCATGATGATAGCACTGTAGTGGTCCAGGTCAGCCTCTCGCAGTGACTCACGGAGGAGGATCCCATCCGTCATGTATTTGATCACTGTGTTCTCTGATGTGCAGTCCTCAAAGCGGATGGCATAGCCCACCTGGGAGGGCAGAGATACCAGCAAGCCTTCCAACAGCCCCAAGTACTCGCTGTTTGCGCGCTGCACCACTGCGCTCACCGCCAGACTCACCTCCTCTCCCAGACGCACCCCCATCTCTTCACTGACTCGCTTGGCAACCGACATAGCTGCAACTCTGCGGGGCTGGGTGCAGCCAATCATGCCATAGTCTGTGTAGCCATCCTCATGGAGGTACTGCGTCAGCTGAGTTGTCTTCCCACTCCCCGTCTCCCCCACCACAATCACAATGCTGTTGTCCCTAAGAGATAGAAAAGGTACTTCTTCACACATCGCAAAGAAGGGCTCTTTCACGCGCAGTCCTGGTCGGCCACACAAGAGTCCTGCTACAGCTTACGCAGGAGAGGTGCTGTCAACCACAGAAAGCGATGGGCCTTGTTTCCTGAGGGTACAGATCTCAACAGGCCTCGCATCTAGGAGGGATTTTCCCTTGGGTTCCTGTGATGTAAGAAAATGCCCCCAAGCTGGGCTATGACCACCTCCCTAGCAGCCATACCTGAGAATGGAGAGCAGCTCCTGCTGCACAGCAAAAATGGGCAGATATTGTCTCTGCTCCAGGATTGATTTCTTCTTGGCAAACTCACTGCTTGCTTCACTCTTTTCTTTCATGTGTTCAGCAAACTTCTGCTCAGTCCTGAGGAAACACCGGAAATCTTGAACCTGCCTCCCTACAGGCTTTGTTATGTCTACAGCCTCATCACCAGCTAACGAGAAGCAATACAAGAGCAGCTCCTACCTGTAATCCACTTTGCCATCTTCCGTCACCATCTCGTCCTTCTCTTCCTCCTTTTTGATCCCCATAATGTCTCCCAGTTTTGTGCCTGCCAGTTCCCAGTGTTTATGCTGAGCCTGGAAGGGCAGAGAGCAGCATCACTTTGCCACAGCAAGGACTGACAAATCATTCATCTCCAGCCTTGTTCAAAATATAAGGCTGGAAAAATGTTTTAGCCCCACAGTTTCACAAAGCTATGTCACAGAACACCCTTCCTGTTCCTGCATCAAGTCTCCCTCTTCCAGCTGAACTGGAAGGGAGCTTTTAGACACTGGTCGGGATGCAGAGACTTCACGCGCAAGATAGACAGTAGCCTCCTAAGAAAGTGGTTCCAGCTGCTGACCCCTTTCATCAAATTTGCACTTGATTCTATACAAATTTGAACCAGAGATAATCTTCCTGCTCTTGACAGGCATGTGTCCCACGTCTCTCTCCCACCCTCCTGTTTCCTCTCGCTTCCGGTATCAGGAGCTCAGCTTCCACCTCAACTCCGCTCACCGAATAAAACCCTCAAATACAGTTCATTTTGTTTTCAAGGAACATATCTGTGCTTTCTCTGCCACTGCCCCAGTGGCTTTAGAGATCCCCTGGAAAACAGTCAAAAAACGAATATGCTGCCTTCCTGAATATTACAGAATCACAGAATAGCTGAGGCTGGGAGGGACCTCTGAGGATCCTCTAGTCCAACCTCCCTGCTCAAAGCAGGGTCAGCTAGAGCAGCTTGCTCAGGACTGCGTCCAGTAGGGTTCTGAATATCTCCAAAGACAGACCTTCTGCTCTACTGCTCCTCAGAACTCTTCTGCTGAGACGTGACGAGATCTATACTCCTGCCATAGCTGACTGTCCCTGGCTGCCCTATGTTCTCCTACTGCTCTTCTCTCATGCTCCCAACACCCTTTGGATCAGACTCCTCTGTACAAGCGCACAGTAACTCAGTGCCTAAGGAAATCATGTTACAGCAGCTGCTTATGAGACAATGCAATGAACTGGACTACCAGGATACCCCAGGTGGTAAAAACACAGTGAACTCCTTATCGCCATTGTGGCCAAAATCCACATTCTGTAAAGTCTCAACGAAGGCTGTAAGGCTCTATATAACATACGTAGGGTGGGGAAATAGGCCAAAAGGTCGTACCCTCTTACGCTCCTTTTGCTCCCTGTGCTTGCGCACCAGTTGACTGCCTTTCCGAGCAATGATGGCCAAATCTGAGGTGGCATCCTTGACAGGGATGACTGGCTCTGGCTAGAGGAAAGAGGTATCGTTCCAGTACAGATTGCTCACACTTGCGGGGCTCCCCGCCACCAGCACCTTTAGCCACGCTCCCTACCTGCTTGGTGAAGACTATCCTCCCATCTAGGAAAGGGGGCACCAGGTTGTGCACCAGCAGATGCACTTTAGCCGAGTTATCCTCCTCAAAGTCTTCATCCACTTCAAGCCGATGAACCACACCACTGGTTAGCATGCGATTTGTCTCCCAGCGCTCGTTATCCTACAAAGAACAAGATTTCTTTTGTGTAACACAACATTTAACTACTACCTTCCCTCATCTAACACTCAAGAACAGCCAAGAAACTCCTTATACCTACCACACGGTATATATAGCTCAAACCAACTGCAGGGCAATAGAAAAAGCAACACAGCCACCTGCAAAGCACTACACAACTGTGACCTACTCAAGTTGGCCTTTTAGTCCTGAAATAGCAAGCTAAAAGCAGCCAGTCGCTCAAGGCAAATCTTTATCTCTGTCTGGGGACATACACCACAGTTAAGCCACGTGGCTTCAAGCACTGACAGCATCCAGAGCTGCATCTGCAAGTCTGCCTTCCCCAAAAGGGGAAAGAGACTGAAACCCCAGAAAAACCTTGAGAGATCACATCAGAACACTGAGCTCATGTTTAGGCCCTGCACTGACAACAGGATGAAACTGAGCAAATCTGGAAAGTGGAGAACAAGGAACACTAAAAGTTCCAGTCCAGGGAGCCAGAAAGCAAGCACTAGGGAAGAAACGATAACCAGAAACAGCAGGGTATGGGAAGCAGACTGACCGTACGAAGTACACGGTACACAGGGCTGCCTCCACAGAAATGCACGACGGATTGTCCACAAGGCCCCTGCCATACTCGGAATACGCCAGGAAACCTGGACACAACCCTACTCACGTGCTGAGGGCAGCAGCCCTAAGTGTCCACTGGGGTACCAGTGCATAGCCCTAGTAAGATAACTCATGCCCAGAATAGCAGCAGCACGGCCCTCTGCGTTCCTGAAGCTCTGGATACTGTGATCCACCACAAAGTGGCTCTAATTAGGAATTCTGCCCCATGCAGAAGATGCAGGGCCTCGCTTTCCAAGGGAGCTTACCAGTAGTTTCCCTGGAATCTCTCATTCAGTCTGGGCCAGTACAAAGATTGTCCTCTCCATCCGACAGCAAGGGCTCAGCCTTCCCTGTCAGCACGCGGGTCTCTTAAGAAGCAGCAAAAAAAGCACTCCTCGCTCGTTCAGAGAGGCCACCCCGCATCTCGCCCCTACCTCATTGATCTGCCGCCGCTGCGCAGAGATGCGCTTCTGCCTCTGCTTGTGCAGGTGCTGCTCCCGCTTCTTCACGTACTCCTCAGAGGAGTAGGCCAAGGGATTGTGAAACTCGTCATAGCCCTCGTCCATCATATACCAGTCCCGGTCAGCTTGCTGGGAAGGGAGAAGGACCAGTCAGCTTAGGGCTGCACCCCAGCCCAGCAGGCCAGGGAGGTGCTGGAAACCCCCCACGACACAAGCCCACATGAGATGCTCCCCGGCCTGGGCCCAGGCCCGCCACTCTCCGTCTTGCCGCCCGGGGGAGCCCATGCGCCACCAACAGCCCCACTGCACCGGCTGCTCTCAGCCAGGAACAGCAGCCCCCAAGGCCCCAGGCCCGCCCAGCTCTCCCTGCTCCTCTGGGGCAAAAGGTGGGCAGCGCAAAGCCAGACGTCTGCTGGGCACCCAGCTCCCAGACCACCTGCAGGGGCTCTTACCCGCTGGTCATCCTCCCACTGCTGCCGCTCCTCCTCCGTCTCAAAGGCAATGCCCTCTTCCCCATCTTCACGCCGCCCTAGAGAAAGCAAACTAGTCAACATAGGCCCCCCAGCCCTACCCCACTGCCACTTGTGGAGGGAATCCCACAGAACCTTTCCTTATGCTGTAGAGGGTGAAGAGGAGGATTAAGCCATTCCCCAGCATAGCAGCCCAGTCCCAGGCTCCTCACCTTTACCTCTGGACAGCCGTGGCGTGGCCCCCAAGTGTCTCCGGTCATCAGCCCACTCATTATATTTGTACGATGGGGTGGGCAACGGCGTCTTATCCCAGTACCTGCTCCTCACGGACCTGAGGAAACAGCACGAGGGAAAAATTAATGCCGACAGCCAGGTACTGCTCTTGCACGTGCCCTTCCTTCTTCTGCAGATCACCAACTCATAGCCACGGTCCTTTGTTCCAGGTTCTGATACCTGTCCCGATCTCTTCGATCTGTGTCTCGCAAGGACGACGCCCTGTGGCTGCGCTCAGAGTCCCGATAGGAAGACACAGGCGATGGAGATTCCCACTGTGAGCGGCGGGTACTGCTGTAACCACTATCATCCTCCTCCCAGCTGGAGCGAGATGGTGTGGCTGAATCTAGAAGAGATGGGGTTTGACATCTGATGCTCGCACAGTGAGCCAGGGCACCTGGCACTGGTGTCACCTTACACCTTTTAGCAAGGAGCACGGAGACAGAGTACCCGTTCGCTCTCCCTCTAAGAGATAAGAGATGGACCTGACCCAGTAAGTCAAAGGAAAACGGACAGAGGACCATATCCTTATCACACAGACCCAGAAGAGCTCCCCAGAGGGCTGGGATCAGGCAGACTTCCACACACAACTGGCAGGATCACTCCCAGGCCCACGTCCAGGAAAAGCTAGTAGCTTTACGCTTGCCCTAACCACAGACCTTAGAAAATACAGACATTTTTACCCACGCTTGCCCAGGCAAAAAGAGCAGCAACCCAAAAAAGGAATGTAACCCTTCCCATTAAGGCAGTGTCCCACTAGGTCGCACTCCTACCTTTCGGTCTGTGTCTCGGACTCTCTGGTTCACTCCTCCTGCTGCTCCGCTCTGATGAGCCATCCCTTTCTGATCTGCTGCTGTGACGACTTTTGTCCCGCTCCTCTGTGGACAGAGGATAAGATAGGTAAGATTAGGTGCTCACTGCACAAGCAGGCTTCCCAAGTCTGCCCTAGAGAACATCCTAAAGATTACTCAAAGACTACAAAGATGCTGAGGAACGGGCCCAAAGGCTCTAAGCAGGAAGAGTCACAAAGATCTTAGAGCAGTTACCTCGGTCCCGTTTACGGTCATGGTCCCGATCCCTACTGCGTTCCTTCTTTCGTTCCTTCTCCTCCTTAGAGGAAGCAAAGACACCTTGCTCCCGACGCTCCCTTTCCCGCTGCCGGCTGCGTTCCCAAAACTCCTCACTCACACCCCCTGTGTAGGAAGGTGTCTCCACGTGGGCAGAACGGTAATGCCTGGGGAGTCAGAGCGGAGAGAAGAAGAGTGCTGAGGAATAGCTGGCCCTTGACTTGCCTTCATGCAACTCTAGTCCTAGTCTCTGCTACAGCAGGAGTGTGCAGCCAGAAATGCTCTCCCCATCCTTTTCTAACAGCCCAGCAGGTCTGTTCCTGTTTTCAGCTATGAGCAGACCGCAGCCTCCACAGACACAGAGCCAGCCAGTCACATGGATAGGATGACTGGCTTTTTCAGGCCTAACAGCACTCATGAACGCTCCGGGCTCTGACGTCTCAAGGAAGGCACCAGCAAAAAGCCTTTCCCAGACCTTCTCAGACCTGCAGAACTGTTCTACAAGCCTCTGCCGAGGAGACCTCCAGACCTCCTTGCCATGCAGGCACCTGCTTGTCACAGAGCTTGGCCCCCGCAGACACGGAGCAACTGCACATCGCCACAGAGCACGCTCGCGTTCGGTCCTCCCGGCTCTGACGTCTCAAGGAAGGCACCAGCAAAAAGCCTTTCCCAGACCTTCTCAGACCTGCAGAACTGTTCTACAAGCCTCTGCCGAGGAGACCTCCAGACCTCCTTGCCATGCAGGCACCTGCTTGTCACAGAGCTTGGCCCCCGCAGACACGGAGCAACTGCACATCGCCACAGAGCACGCTCGCGTTCGGTCCTCCCAGCGGGGACCCCGCGGCTGCTAAACGCCCGGTGCCCCCAGCAGCCCCAGAGACCCCCAGGCAGCCCCTACCTGTCTTTGCGGCCGCTCCGACTGCTTGGGTCGCTCTCCTCCTCTTCGTCGTCCTCCTCCTCGGCGCGGGCGG